TGTTGGTATCAATCTATACTTTGACTTGCATTTTGTTTACTGTACTGTTTGGGCCAAGGATCTTCTCTTCACCAAGTTGTTTCGTGAGATTTCATTGTGCGTTCAAGTGATGGCACTAGCTCCTCGGAATGTACTGATGGCGTACTTGAGTGCAAGAATGGTGAAAATCAATATTGCAGTGGACAGAGAATAAATGAGCATGTCTTTGGCTACAACATTGGATTAACTTTGTCTAGTACTCAAGTCTCTAGTGAAGAGACAGATTAGCTTTGTCTAGTACTCTAGTCTCTAGTGAAGAGATGGATAATAGTACAAGGCCAAAGCATATGTAGTTATGTACTAGTGACTGTTCTATACTTCTATCTGATAATCAACCATTTGAAAAGTTGGATAAAAGTTGTTCTATTTATTAATCATTTAATTGATTAATTGTGGACAAGTAATTTAAGCAAAAAAAAAAAAAAAAAAAAAATTGATTATGTGGAAATTCCACCGGAAATTCGAAATGAGTGGTAATCTGCACGCTTATTTAATTTAAGGGGTGGTTAAATAAAAATAATTTTGTTTTGGGTGGTTATATTAAAAATGGTCTTATTTTTGGGTGGTATATTACAAATTACCCTAATAATAATAATAATATATAATAATTATATACCAAAAGACACACCAGCAAAGAAACGTGTCATTTCTTGGTGTGTCCTTAATTTTTTTTTTTGGAAAAAAAATTAATCATAGAATAAAATTTTATACGAAAATAATTTATTATATATGTTAATAACAAAGATAATTACTTTAAATATAAAAGATTTGATTACCTTCTCACACAAACATTTATGACTATAATAGAAAATATTAATATGATTTGCGACATATAATGATTTACTACACGAGAGTATTTATATTTTTATTCCCCTAAAGTTGTTTATTTATTGATTAGAATTCATAATAGAGTAGTGCATATACTTTTACTATCCCTTGAATGATAATAACCCCGCTCTTTCCCTTCTCTAAGTGAAAATGAGTTACTGTATTAAATTATTTTATTTTATTTATAGAAACATATCTATTTACTACCTTAATATATAAAAATTAGTTAGACTATACTTCATAATATTAATATAAACACACACAAAAATCTCATGAAGATCAATATTACAGTATTATTTATTGCCCTCATCCAAAACATGTTGATATTATATATAATTATATATTTGAATACAATATCCTCACATCAATGTTTCAATTACTTAATAGACGATTTTATTACTTTGTATTTAAGAATATCAAATTCTTCAATTTATACTTATTAGATATATCCACTTATCTTTCATATTTTAATAAAAGATTGTCCATAGTGTTTTTAGATTTTTTGTTTTATTGTTGTAAAATAACCAATTATATTGAAACTTGATATTAATTTTTTAAAATTGTCGTGCATGGCATGATACCTAACCTAGTTTTTAATATTTCCATACACCAAAGCTTGTATCAATTCTTTGTAAGTTTTTTAGATTTTTTTTTAACAAAAAAGCAGCTGAAATTACATTAAGTAAACTGAGTTTATAACAAACGAAAGGACAGTAAAGTAACATAAGTTACTATTGGCATAAGAAGCCCTTACACAATACCAATTAAGGTCATTAACGATATTTACCTTTAGGCTATTACAACGAGTGAGGACAACGCATATAAGGCTTACCAATATACATTTAAACAGGCGAGAGACTATTGATAGAACAAGGGAAGTTGGGAATGATGTTTCGTGTTGTGCAAGGTATTTTCTAACATACAACTAAAAGTCTATGAATGTTGCTGATATGACGAAGACAACCCAAAATCAGTATGCCTTACCCTAAGGGACCCTAATAATTCAAATGGATAAAATTTTCTTGAGATCTATGCTTCATACATGTCAATCACATTTCTTGCGATCTGACAAAACCATATCTTATACTCTCTCCATCCCATAATATAGTTTCTATTGTGTTTTTTCACGGTATTTAAGAAATGGGAGGAGAAGTGGAAAAAAGTTAGACAAAAGTACAAGACAAGTGGATAATTTAAGGGGAAAAAAGTGAAAAGTACAATTATAGACAAAAGTTAGAGAGAGAAAGTGAAAAAAGTACAATGCAAGTGGATAAGTTAAGGGTAAATTAGGAAGTTCAATGAATAAAGTAATAAAAATAAGGGTATAATGGGTTTAACATACTATTCAAAAATAGAAACAGGAAAAAAAATTTGGGTCTCTAAAATAAGAAAACAGAAACTATATTGTGGGACGTAGGGAGTATATATTCTCATACAAGGTCATAATGTTGTAATGACTTTTACCGTTATCACATACAAATGGGTTTAACAACACCTACTACCATCCTCCTTCAACAAGGGTTTATGTAAATCTGAAATTGAAATTTTGCTACATCTTCCAACAAATATAAGTAACACCACTTCCATTAAAGGAACACATTTTTTTATTAAAACTAAAGAGATTAAAAAGATCAATTCCAAGAGTCAAACGACTCCATTTCATCCTCTAATTAACCCTGAATTCGACTTGTCTTCGTTTATCGATCTATTATTTTGGGTGCTTCCAAAATCTAAGTTTTATTTTTTAGAAAAATTCACTTTAATTTATTAATCCGAACTTTCAGCGATTTACTCTCAATAATCCCAATTTACATTTATTAGGGAGCACTATAAACTTTTGGGTTAATTTTCTTCCACTAGGTCGATCTACCAGTAACTTAAAGAAAGGGTGAATATTATTTTGTAAAAGCCATGTGTGATGTGTCGCAACATAATTGGTCCAAATTTTTTTGGTAAAACAAGAAAAAAAATAATTAAAAACCCCTCTCGGCCACCATCCTTCCTCCCCTTAGCCCTAACCCCCAGCTCGACCAAAATTCGACCGCCCGCCTTCCCTAACAACCAATAACAGCCGGTCGGCCCCTCCCTACCCCTAAAACCACTCGGGCGACCCACCTACACCATCGAAACCCCCCCTTCCCCCATCCTCAAAATAGCCCCTCTCTTCTCAGGTCGATGAAACCGCCCCTCCTCCCTTCCCTCGTTGTCTAGGCCCCCTCAATTGGAGATTATTGCCAAGAAATTAAATGTAGTTGTGTTACTCAAGGTTTTTGTGGTAGATTTTTTTAGATTTTTTTTTTTACAAAATAAATAAATAAATAAATTGTGGTTATTGTTCTAAAAGTAGTCATTATAATGGTAGTTGTTGGTAAAATTTTCTTAAATTTTCACAAAATTACCCTATATCTAAAGTATAATACTCCCTTTGTCCCTTTTATTGGATACGTTTTGACCTTTACACGTTTGTCAATACACCTATTTGATTACTATTCATTAAATACTTTTTAAAATTATAACGATTGAATATTAAATAGAGCATTCTTTGAGATGAATCAAACATGATCTCATATGACTCTTTTACTTTTGTGAGTAAATTTGAAGATTATCTAATACGCCCAGAATACATGACACAGTCAACATTGCACACATGTCAATGCACTACTTTGACTTTATTTGTATATAATTAAATATTAATGAAAATTATTTTATAAATTATATTTTGAAATTTATATATATACTTATCTAACAACATATTATATGATAAAATAGGTTTTATTATGTTAGTAAAAAATTATGATCCAAACTAATACATAAATAGTGAAAAAAGTCCAACGTCTCATATATTTTGGGATTGAGGGAGTATTATGAATACTGTTTAAAATCTAAACATAACCAATAAAAAGAAACGGAGGAAGTATTATGAATAGTTTTTAAAATCTGATAATAACCAATAAAAAGAAACGGAGGGGTACCCTACAAAATTAATCATCCTAAAGTTTTTGTCCAAAAATAAAAAATAAAAAATCATCCTAAAGTAATTGGAACATTTTAATATACATTTTTGTTGATACATAAAATTATTTTACCTTTAATAATTTTGATCGTATATTTATTATAATTAGTTGATACTATGAAATTTTATACAATGTATCAATTTTCTTGTTACGATACTAAGATAACAATTATCCTTACCCTCTTCAAACAAAATAAAAGAGAGTTACGTTTAAGTGATTCAATTCCATGTTTAAACCAAACAAATGAAAAGAAAACGATTAAATGATTCATTTCCTTCTACTTATTTGGTTTTTTTTTTTTTTTTTTTTTTTTTTTTTTTTTTTTTTTTTAACTCCATTTCCAATATCTATACCAAACGACTAATAGTGTTACCTTTACTAGTTGTTTGGTAAAAAACGTAAATGATTACAAGCAATTCATTTCCTCTTGTTTGGCATAAATAACTTGGAAACAAATAGTTTTTCTATTATTTTTTGTTGTCTTTGCTATTTTTTGCTACAATTTATGTAATATAGAGCAACACTAATTACAATACAATGTCATATGCTAAATATAGGCAAAGTAACATAAACTATTGATTACAAAAGTTACAGATTTTGTAATTTTTGCATTTAAAAAAAAAAAATTCAAAGTCTATTGCATATTTTTTCTTCATATTAGTTGGGGCTTGATAGAAGATGCGGAGTTTATGTTTCAAAAGAGGTGAGTGAATAGTGGAAAAGTGTAAATAATGCAATTAAAATAACGCATGAAGTAATTAACAAATTACATAAAATTATTTATGAATTAACAAATTAAATAAATATTTATAATTATTAAAACAAATAATTTATTCAACAAAAGTATTATCATTTTGCCCCGGGCCACCAAAATATTAGAAATGGCTATGAGCAAAACTCTAACAAAGAAATTGCACTGTATAATCTAACATAACTTTAGTAATTACAACGAATAAGTTCAATAATCCGACATAGAAGAACCCTAAACTGATTATACTAACAATTGAATTAGCGATTAACACTAGACTGAAAAGAATATTCGATGATTGAAAAAAAGAAGCATCTTACCTGAAAAGGTGGTTCAGTGGAAGAAAGAAAGCTTAGAAGGTGGTTCAATGGAGGAGAGAAAGCTAAGAAGGTGGTTCAATGGAGGAGAGAAAGCTGAGAAGGTGGTTGAATGGAGAAGTGAGAGTAGAGTGCAATGGAGGAGAGAGAAAGGGGGAGGGGTGTGGCGAGTCAGAGTGAGCTTGAGAAGGCTCCAAACATAGGAGAAATGTTATTGACACGCTTGTATTGTCAACCATTTACCCGAGACTCAGTCTGACCCGATCATGGTCCGGGTTTTGGAAACAAAGTTGGCCCATTTTGGGATAAAACTTCGGGTTAGGCAATAGCTGGATCATACCCTGTAAATAATGCAATTAAAATAACGCATGAAGTAATTAACAAATTACATAAATATTTATAATTATTAAAACAAATAATTTATTCAACAAAAGTATTATCATTTTGCCCCGGGCCACCAAAATATTAGAAACGACTATGCTTTTGTTGTTCATGTCCTTCTTAAGCTTGAAGAATTTAATGGAGTTTTTGTTTTATTTTTTCACAGTAATGGCAACTCGGTTTGATTTTATGGGTTCTAAATTACTCAACTCAGAATTTAAGGTATTGAATTCTATTTGTTTTTTTTTTTCATTGATTATGTTTCATATACTTGGCTAGAAGTATCATACAAGGCCGTTTATGGGAAAATTTGCATGATTTTGGCTCGAATTGAATTGTTTAAGTGTCATACCCATGTCCGAGCTATTCGGGGGTGTTTTGTTGTGTAATTTTACTCATGTCTGGTTTATTATATACAGGGTTGTGTACAACGTAAATTATTTCTGTCTCGAAATTCGATTAGTACTCGTAGCCATTTGGGTGTCGGGCTAGGTCGATTGTCAAGTTTGTACACTCGTAGTGTTGGGTTAAGAAGTTTAGGATTGGGGAAGGTGAAGGCTATTGTTTCAGGAGATGTGAATGTCACATTAGGTGATGAAGTAAAACTGTCGGTAGACAAGGTTATACATTTCTTCCGTGTTCCATTGATTCAAGATAGTGCAGCTGATGAGCTACTGAGGACAATTCAGATGAAGATATCAAATGAGATAGTTGGTTTGAAAACAGAATAGTGTTTCAACATTGGGGTAGATGTTAGAAAAATAATTATGGGAATAAAGGATTAGGGACGTGATTACACTGTCCTTAAAGCAATTTTAACCCCCACTATGATTGCTATGGGTTACCGGTTAATATGCTTCCAAGATTTTCCCTAAGTTCGAGATCAATTAAAGCAATGTAATTGAACTCCCTAAGAAAACTTTAAGAACAATTAGAATAGAAAAGGAAGAAGAAGATAAAAGTGAAGTAAGTTATAAATTTTGGAGCAATTAAAATATATAATAAACAACCTTTTTGTCCAAGAGTCATCATTTCCAAAAAAAAATTAATTAATTAAGATAATGTACTCCTTGTGAACTATGGAGTATATAGTAATTTTTTGTAATAAATTTTTTAAAAATGATGTATATGGACTAAACACAATCTACTCCTTATGAACTATGGTACGAAAGAAAGCCAAACTTCAAGTATCTCAAGGTTTGGGGTTGTAGGGCAATCGTAAGAGTGTCCGGCAACAAGAAAAGAAAGCTCGGTGAAAGGGGCTTGGATTGCATATTTATAGGTTATGCTGAGCATAGCAAAACATATAGGTTTTATGTAATAGAACAAATCCTCAAACGAGGAGAAGTACTAGGGAAAGGAAAATTAGGAATCCTCTAGATGACTTCATAATTTATTTAGTTGAAGGATCTAGGGATGTCCTTAGTTCTACTACTCCATAATGTTTCAATGTGGATAGTGACCCAAAGACTTATAGCGAGGCAATATCTAGTCAAGATAGTGCATTTTGGAAGGAAGCTATAAATGATGAGATGGATTCCATCATGAGAAATAATACTTGGGTCAAAGAGGATTTACCTCCCGGTTGCAAACCTCTTGGTTGCAAGTGGTTTTCACTAGGAAAAGGAGACCGGATGGCTTCATAGTGAAATTTAAAGCCAGATTGGTTATCCAAGGCTTTAGGAAAAAGCATGGTGTTGATTATTTCGATAACTATGCACCGGTTGCAAGAATTACCTCCATAAGGTTATTGATTGCACTGGCTTTGGTATATAATCTAGTGATTCATCAAATCAACGTCAAAACGGCATTCCTTTATGGAGATCTAGAGGAAGAAGTGTATATGAAACAACCCGAAGGGTTTGTTTTGGAAGGACAAGAAGATAAGGTGTGCAAATTGGTTAAGTCATTGTATGGACTTAAAAAAGCACCAAAACAATGGCATCAAAAATTTGATGACACGATTTTGTCTTTTGGTTTCAAAGTGAATCAAACTGATAAGTGTATTTATAGCAAATTTGTTGACAAAGGTCATGGTGTCATCATTTGTCTATATGTTGATGATATGCTTATCTTTGGTACAAGTCTACAACAAGTAGAATTGACCAAGGAATTCTTATCCTCATCTTTTCAGATGAAGGATTTGGGGGAGGCGGATGTCAATTTGGGCATCAAGATTATAAGGGACAATGGAAGACTTATCTTAAGTCAATCTCATTATATTGAGAAGATGATCAAACGGTTTAATATGTTTGATAAGTGTCTTGTGAACACCCCCATGGAATCTAATGTTAAATTGGTTAAGAATTCAGGGAAAACGGTTTCCCAATTGGAATATTCAAGGATAATTGGATCCTTGATGTATGCCATGACTAGTACAAGACCGGATATTGCATTGGCTGTGGGGAAACTAAGTAGATTTACTAGTAACCCGGGTGCACAACATTGGTTTGCAATTCGGAGGGTCTTGAGGTACCTTAAGGGTACATTAGACTATGGTCTGACTTATAGTGGATTTCCTTCGGTTTTAGAAGGATTTTCGGATGCTAGTTAGATCACTTACAAAGAGGATGACTCTTCTGTAAGTGGTTGGGTATTCATGTTTGGAGGAGGTGCCATTTCATGGTCTTCCAAGAAACAAACTTGCATCGCTGATTCCACTATGGCAGCGGAGTTTATAGCTCTTGCTTCAGCTAGTAAGGAAGCTGAGTGGTTGAGGAATCTCATGATAGAATTGCCTTTATTGCCAAAGCCAATGCCACCAGTGACAATCCATTATGATTCCAATTCGGCGTTAATAAAGGCGTGTAGTCAAGTGTACAATGGTAAGTCTCAGCATATTTCACTAAGGCATAGCCTAGTGAAAGAGCTTATCAATGATGGGGTCATAAGTCTTGACTATGTTCTAACAAAGTTGAATTTGGCAGATTGCTTTACAAAGGCAATGCCAAGACATTCTATCATATTTGCTATGAATGGAATGGGTTTATGTCCGAAAACACGAATTTGTGAAACCCAATCTAACGCTTAAAGAAACATCAAGTCTTAGATTCAATGTGGTTGAATCGCATTTTTGTTGTTTGTTAGCAATATTTGATGACCCATATTGCTATGTTACTTGTGATGTGTAAGGTAGCGTCTAATTAAAGTTCTCAAAGATTTAGAGTTGAGAGGCTCTAAATGAAGGTGATTTATCACAAGGACACTATTACATATATGAGAACCTACCTATATGAGTTTGAAGTTTAGCCGCTTCAAGAAATCTAGATGGACATATAGACTTTGATGAACTTATGAAAGATACGGACACATGGCTGTACAAAAGTGTCAAGTGATGATAAATTCGATTTGTCTTGTGCGTGCTTCACCTTCGAATGGTTGGATATATCCGTGTGATACAATCCGTATGGAAATCATGAGATATGATCATCGTTAAGTGTGTTGTACTGGGTGTCAATTCAATCCGAAGGGACATTGGCATTGATGCATGAGATGTGGTTTAATTGTTAGAAGTGGAGAATGTTTTAAGGAACACTCTAAATGGGGGAGGATTTTTGAATATTTAGAGTGTTGATGGTTGTGCGATCGCGACCATGAAGGAGCGCCCGCGCAAGTTTGGCGCGGCGCGCAAAGAGCGCGCCTAAACTGCGTACCTCTCTGGAATTTGGATCTTTGGAAGGGTAAGGTTGGCGCGGCCGTGCGTCCTAGTGGCGCGCTCTCGCAGCTGGTCGCGCCTAAACCGCGCCCCCTTCTGCCTTCCTGTGGAAATTTCGCATATCTGATGAGGAGCGCCCGCTCCTAATATAGGAGCGCCTGCTCCAACTGGTGGCGCGCCCGCGTCTCCCTGTTTTGCGGTTTTCTTGACGGTTGAGTCTTTTATTAAAAGACATATTCGTGAAAGGAAAAAGACACAAAAGATTTTCTTCATCTCCCTAAACAGAATTCTCCACATTTTCTCTCAAATTTCTTGCAAACTTTTGTGAGAAAACTCTTTCAATTATTCCAAATATTGTGAATTTGTCATCTTGATTTTGATTCTAGTACTAAGAACGAAATTGTTGTCAATTGTATCTGAAAGAGGATTTCCGGTTAACCCAAGTACTGTGTGGGGGAAATAAACCTCTTTAGGAAAGTGTTTACACGCCTTTGACAGTGTATCAAGGATCTAGTCTTACGGGACATTGGTATTCTCATGTTCATGCTTGGTTGTATCGGCTTGGAGTTAAGGCAAGTTTAATCATCTTCACACTAGTGTAGTCATTGTATATTTTCAGTAATTTCATTGGCAATTCAAATACTTGATTGTAATACTTTGTTTAGTATTTAATATTTACAATTTCGAATTGTAATAATATTTTTTAGGATTTCTTCCCACACATTATTTAAGTGTTTTCTTAATTAAAATCACTGTAAATCTGATAGGCCGTCGTCGAGCCTACCAAAGATAAAAACCTAACTTGGTCTCTCTAATGGGTAGAAAGGGTAAGTAAGGGTCGATCCCACAAGGACTAAGGGGAGCACTAACAAATATCGATTTATGATAAGCTAAGTCAAGTCTTTTTGGTTTATAAGTTATGAAGAAAAACTACAAACAATAATAACAAGGATCTTGGGAAGGTATCCACCAATTAAGTCATTCACAAACTACAATTTAACATACAAGACATAGCAATTTGGGGATAAATTAGGGGAAGTCATCTAAGGCACCCAACTACTCTCTCAAGCTAGAGGGATTACTTGAGTCATGAATATAACCTACTCTCGTGGTTACAAAGCATAAAACAAGTGGTAAAGCATAATCACGATGACATAAACATTCCCTTGACTAGAAATTCCTATTCTCATGGCATTTTAAGTCAATTAAGCATAAGGGAGCTAACTCAAGTTCATCTCTTGATCCTTCGTTGAGAAAGCTTAGATAAATAGTTCTAGTAATGGCCACTTACAAGAACTAACAATGAAACCACTTAAGCTCAACTAATTAACATCCCACATTAGCTAAATCAACACATACAAACAATTATTTGTGAATTCATCAATGGTTTCAACCATCCCAAGTAAAAGAACTACTCACAAATCATAATAAATTGCAAAACTAAAGGAATTAGCAACTAAGAACATAAAACCAAACACGAATCTAACATAAATAAGTAATTAAGGATGAAAAGGTACAAAAATAAGTAAATAGAATAACAAAATAGGAGAGAGAGAGTAAGAAATTCTCATTGATATTGCAAGGAGTATCCAAATCTTCAAGTCTCCTTCCTTCAATTCTTCATATTCTAAGCTTTCAATAAGCTTTTGTCACTTTCTCTCTCTAGAAAATGAGAGTTTTTCTCTCTAAAAACCCTAACCTAAGCTAAAACTAAACTAAGAAGATCCCCCCTCCAAATGAAGCTAAAGGGATATTATATAACCCCCAAGTAAAAGGACGGAGAAATCAAGAATCGGCCCGTCTACAGGTCGGCACGGACGTGCCAAAGGTTGCACGGACGTGCCAAAGGTTGCACGGACGTGCAGACCTGTTAAAATGAGAACAGTAGCTACTGCCTGACCTTGCACGGACGTGCATCAGTTGGCACGGACGTGAAGATTTTTCTGGCGAAACAACTTCGTTTCGGAAGGTCATAACTTCTTCATTACTCATTGGAATAAGGCAAGTAAGCAGTCGTTGGAAAGATCTTGAGATGAACTTTAATATCCAATTTGAATCACTTCAAAAACTTGAGTAGAAAAAAAGTTATGGTTATTTGAAGTT